TTGTAAATCGCCTTCAAACCAAACACCTTCAAACTGTTGGTTGAATGTTGTAAATCGCCTTCAAACCGTTGGTTAAATGTTGTAAAACACCTTCAAACCACTGGTTAAATGTTGTAAATCACGAGGCAAACCGTTGGTTAAATGTTGCAAATCACCTTCAAACCATCGGTTAAATGTTGTAAATCACGAGGCAAACCATTGGTTGAATGTTGTAAATGACCTTCAAACCATCGGTTGAATGTTGTAAAACATCTTGAAACCGTTGGTTAAATATCGTAAATCACCTTCAAACCATCAGTTAAATGTTGTAAAACACCTTCAAACAAAACACCTTCAAACCGTTGGTTGAATGTTGTAAAACACCTTCAAAACATTGGTTAAATGTTGTAAATTGCCTTCAAACCGTTGGTTAAATGTTGTAAATCACTTTCAAACCATTGGTTAAATGTTGTAAATCACCTTCAAACCAAACACATTCAAACCGTTGGTTGAATGTTGTAAATCACCTTCAAACCAAACACCTTCAAACCATTGGTTAAATGTTGTAAATCATGAGGCAAACCGTTGGTTAAATGTTGTAAACTGCCTTCAAACCATTGGTTAAATGTTGTAAATCGCCTTCAAACCTTAAATGTCATAAAACACCTTCAAACCGTTGGTTGAATGTTGTAAATCGCCTTCAAACCTTAAATGTCCTAAAACACCTTCAAACCGTTGGTTAAATGTTGTAAATCACCTTCAAACCTTAAATGTCCTAAAACACCTTCAAACCATCGGTTAAATTGGTTAAATGTCATAAAACATCTTGAAACCGTTGGTTAAATATTGTAAAACACCTTCAAGCCATCGGTTGAATGCTGTAAAACACCTTCAAACCATCAGTTAAATGTCCTAAAACACCTTCAAACCATTGGTTAAATGTTGTAAAACACCTTCAATCCTGCAGCTTTTTTTTGTTTTGGGGGGTGTGTTTTATTTTTCCCCCCCCCCAATAACGGAGCTGCCTCGGCAACCGGCGCAGAAAATTGGGAAAAAAACCCATTTGGGGTGAATTTCGGGGTGAACCTCCAATATAAACCCGGAGGGAATCACCCCACTGGAAGCGCTGAGGTGGAATCCCTGCAGCTTTTTTTTTATTTGGTGGGGTGTTTTTTGTTTCCCCCCCCCCCAATATCGGAGCTGCCTCAGCAACCGGCGCAGAAAATTGGGAAAAACCCTCATTTAGGGTGAATTTCAGGGTGAACCTCCAATATAAACCCGGAGGGAATCACCCCACTGGAAGCGCTGAGGTGGAATCCCTGCAGCTTTTTTTTGTTTTGGGGGGGGTTTGTTTTTCATTTTCCCCCCACCCTTGTCCTTGGGCAGGTGGGAGCCTGCGGGTTCAACAGCCGGATCCTGCCCAATGTCTACCCCATCCGGCTGGTGAAGGTCAACGAGGACACCATGGAGCTGCTCCGGGATTCCCGGGGGCTCTGCGTGCCCTGTCGCCCTGGTGAGTGCCTGTCCCCACGCTGACCCCAAAAATAGGGATGTCAGGTCAATTCTGGGCTGGTTTGGGGGGTTTTTGGTTTTTTTTCCCCCCCCTGGAGCGGGATCAGTTCCCCAGAGGAACCTCCTTTGGTGCCCACGAGGTTTAGGCTGACAGGGGATGTTGGTGTCCTGTGGTGACCCCAAAACCCACCGGTGGTACCTTGAGCTGTCCCCCTGAGTTGATCCCACAGCTGTCAGTGGTGTCCTGAGTTGATCCCACCCCTGTCAATGTCCTGAGTTGATCCCACCCCTGTCAATGTCCTGAGTTGATCCCACCCCCGTCAGTGTCCCCCTGAGTTGATCCCACACCTGTCAACGGTGTCCTGAGTTGATCCCACCCCTGTCAGTGTCCCCCTGAGCTGATCCCACACCTGTCGATGTCCTGAGTTGATCCCACCCCTGTCAGTGTCCCCCTGAGTTGATCCCACACCTCTGTTGGTGTCCTGAGTTGATCCCACACCTGTCAGTGTCCCCCTGAGTTGATCCCACACCTGTCAGTGTCCCCCTGAGTTGATCCCACACCTGTCAGTGTCCCCCTGAGTTGATCCCACACCTGTCAATGTCCCCCTGAGTTGATCCCACCTCTGTTGGTGTCCTTAGTTGATCCCACCCCTGTCAGTGTCCCCCTGAGTTGATCCCACACCTGTCAACGGTGTCCTGAGTTGATCCCACACCTGCCCGTCCCTCCTGTGGGTCCCAGGCGTGTGGGTGCCATGGGCTCCTGTTCCTGGGTGGATCCCGGGCAGTTTTGGGGTCACGGCCCCCTTTTGGGGTCACAGCTCCTTGGGCAGTTTTGGGATCACAGCTCCCTGGGTGGTTTTGGGGTCACAGCCCCCTTTTGGGGTCACAGCTCCCCAGGTAATTTTGGGATCACAGCTCCCTGGGTGGTTTTGGGATCACATCTCCCTGGGCAATTTTTGGGATCACAGCTCCCTGGGTGGTTTTGGGATCACATCTCCCTGGGCAATTTTTGGGATCACAGCTCCCTGGGTGGTTTTGGGATCACATCTCCCTGGGCAATTTTTGGGATCACAGCTCCCTGGGTGGTTTTGGGGTCACAGCCCCCTTTTGGGATCACAGCTCCCTGGGTGGTTTTGGGGTCACAGCCCCCTTTTGGGATCACAGCTCCCTGGGTGGTTTTGGGGTCACAGCCCCCTTTTGGGATCACAGCTCCCTGGGTGGTTTTGGGGTCACAGCCCCCTTTTGGGATCACAGCTCCTGGGTGGTTTTGGGGTCACAGCCCCCTTTTGGGATCACAGCTCCCTGGGTGGTTTTGGGGTCACAGCCCCCTTTTGGGATCACAGCTCCCTGGGCAGTTTTGGGGTCACAGCTCCCTGGACAGTTTTGGGATCACAGCTCCCCGGGCAGTTTTGGGATCACAGCTCCCTGGGTGGTTTCGGGATCACATCTCCCTGGGCAATTTTTGGGATCACGGCCCCCTTTTGGGATCACAGCTCCCCGGGTGGTTTTAGGATCACAGCTCTCTGGGCAATTTTTGGGATCACAGCTCCCTGGGCGGATTTGGGATCACGGCTCCCTGGGCAGTTTTGGGATCACAGCTCCCTGGGTAATTTTGGGGTCACAGCTCCCTGGGCAGTTTTGGGATCACAGCTCCTGGGTGGTTTTAGGATCACAGCTCCTGGGTGGTTTTGGGGTCACAGCCCCCTTTTGGGATCACAGCTCCCTGGGTGGTTTTGGGGTCACAGCCCCCTTTTGGGATCACATCTCCCTGGGCAGTTTTGGGATCACAGCTCCCCAGGCCATTTTGGGGTCACAGCTCCCGGGCAGTTTTGGGATCACAGCTCCCAGGCAGTTTTGGGGTCACAGCCCCCTTTTGGGATCACGGCTCCCTGGGTGGTTTTGGGATCACAGCTCCCCGAGCGGTTTTGGGATCACGGCCCCCTTTTGGGATCACAGCTCCCTGGGCAATTTTTGGGATCACAGCCCCCTTTTGGGATCACGGTTCCCTGGGCAGTTTTGGGATCACAGCCCCCTTTTGGGATCACAGCTCCCTGGGTGGTTTTGGGATCACATCTCCCTGGGCAATTTTTGGGATCACAGCCCCCTTTTGGGATCACAGCTCCCTGGGTGGTTTTGGGATCACAGCTCCCTGGGTGGTTTTGGGATCACAGCTCCCTGGGCAATTTTTGGGATCACAGCCCCCTTTTGGGATCACAGCTCCCTGGGCAGTTTTGGGATCACAGCTCCCTGGGCAGTTTTGGGATCACGGCCCCCTTTTGGGATCACAGCTCCCTGGGCAGTTTTGGGATCACGGCCCCCTTTTGGGATCACAGCTCCCTGGGTAATTTTGCGATCACAGCTCCTGGGTGGTTTTAGGATCACAGCTCCCCGAGCGGTTTTGGGGTCACGGCCCCCTTTTGGGATCACATCTCCCCGGGCAGTTTTGGGATCACAGCTCCCTGGGCAGTTTTGGGGTCACAGCTCCCTGGGCAATTTTTGGGATCACTAGCTCCTGGGCAGTTTTGGGGTCACAGCTCCCTGGGCAGTTTTGGGGTCACAGCTCCCTGGGCAATTTTTGGGATCACAGCTCCCTGGGCAGTTTTGGGGTCACAGCTCCCTGGGCAATTTTTGGGATCACAGCTCCCTGGGCAGTTTTAGGATCACATCTCCCCGGGCAGTTTTGGGATCCCATCTCCCCGTGGCTGCCCCCCAGGAGAGCCGGGGCTGCTGGTGGGGCAGATCGACCAGCGGGACCCCCTGCGCCGCTTCGACGGCTACGTCAGCGAGAGCGCCACCAGCAAGAAGATCGCCCACGACGTCCTGCGCAAGGGGGACCAGGCCTACCTCTCAGGTACCCCCCACGGGCACCCCAGAGCCGGGATCGGCACCTGGAAAGGCCGGATCTGATTCCCGGGGGATGAGGGTTCAACCAGGCCAAGCGCCGGGTCCTGCCTGGCTGCTCCCCGGACGCTCTGTCCCCAGCCCCAAGGGTTGATCCGATGATTCCACGGTTCCGTGATTCTGTGATTCCATGATTCTATCATTCCACAATTCCATGATTCCGTGTTTCCATGATTCCATGATTTTATGATTCCATGATTCCATTATTCTATAATTCCATGGTTCCATGATTCTGTGATTCCATGGTTCCGTGATTCTGTGATGCTATTGTTCCATGATTCCATCATTCCACAATTCCATGATTCCATGGTTCCATGATTCCATGATTCCATGATTCTATAATTCCATGATTCCATGATTCTATGAATTCTATTATTGCATGATTCTTTCATTCCACAATTCCATGATTCCGTGTTTCCATGATTCCATGATTTTATGATTCCATGATTCCATTATTCTATAATTCCGTGGTTCCATGATTCTGTGATTCCATGGTTCCGTGATTCTGTGATGCTATTGTTCCATGATTCCATCATTCCACAATTCCATGATTCCATGGTTCCATGATTCCATGATTCCATGATTCTATAATTCCATGATTCCATGATTCTATGAATTCTATTATTGCATGATTCTTTCATTCCACAATTCCATGATTCTGTGTTTCCATGATTCCATGGTTCCACAATTCCATGATTCTGTGATTCTATGATTCTGTGATTCCATGATTCCATGATTCCATGATTCCACGGTTCCATAATTCTATAATTCCATGATTCCACAATTCTATAATTCCATGATTCTATGATTCCACGATTCCATGATTCTATGATTCCATGATTCCACGGTTCCATAATTCTATAATTCCATGATTCTGTGATTCCACGATTCTGTAATTCCACAATTCCATAACCCCATAACTCCATGATTCCACGTTTCCACAATCCCCCCCTCTGGAGGAGCAGGGGTGGGGACGCCCCCGCTGGGACAGGGCCGGTGTCCCCCAGCGAGGATTCCGGGGTGTCCCTCCCCCCGAGGTGGGGATTATTCTGGGATTTCACGGATGTTCCCGCTGTTCCCAGGGGACGTGCTGGTGATGGATGACCTGGGCTACCTGTACTTCCGAGACCGCGGCGGGGACACGTTCCGGTGGCGCGGCGAGAACGTCTCCACCACCGAGGTGGAGGGGGCCCTGAGCCGCCTCCTCAACCAGGCCGACGTCGTGGTCTACGGGGTGGCCGTTCCAGGTGGGAAAAACACCCCCATTCCCGCTGTTCCCACCCCAGGAGTGGAGGGCGAGGCGGGCATGGCTGTTCCCATTCCCACTGTTCCCATTCCCATTCCCACTGTTCCCATTCCCATTGTTCCCATTGTTCCCACCCCAGGTGTGGAGGGCGAGGCAGGCATGGCTGTTCCCATTCCCACTGTTCCATTCCCACTGTTCCCATTCCCATTCCCATTGTTCTCATTCCCACTGCAGGAGTGGAGGGCGAGGCAGGCATGGCTGTTCCCATTCCCACTGTTCCCATTCCCACTATTCCATTCCCATTCCCGCTGTTCCCATCCCAGGAGTGGAGGGCAAGGCAGGCATGGCTGTTCCCATTCCCACTGTTCCCATTCCCACTGTTCCCACTGTTCCCACTGTTCCCATTCCCACTTTTCCTGTTGTTCCCACTGCAGGAGTGGAGGGCAAGGCGGGCGTGGCTGTTCCCATTCCCATTGTTCCCATTCCCATTGTTCCCATTCCCATTCCCATTTTTCCCATTGTTCCCATTGTTCCAGGAGTGGAGGGCAAGGTGGGCATGGCTGTTCCCATTCCCATTCCCATCCCCATTCCCATTCCCGTTTTTCCCACCCCAGGCGTGGAGGGCAAGGCGGGCATGGCTGTTCCCGTTGTTCCCATTCCCATTGTTCCCATTGTTCCAGGAGTGGAGGGCAAGGCGGGCATGGCTGTTCCCATTGTTCCCATTCCCATTCCCACTGTTCCCATTGTTCCAGGCGTGGAGGGCCAGGCGGGCATGGCTGTTCCCATTGTTCCCATTGTTCCCATTGTTCCCACTGTTCCCATTGTTCCAGGAGTGGAGGGCAAGGCGGGCATGGCTGTTCCCATTCCCATTCCCATTGTTCCCACTGTTCCCATTGTTCCAGGCGTGGAGGGCAAGGCGGGCATGGCTGTTCCCATTGTTCCCATTCCCATTGTTCCCATTCCCATTCCCATTCCCATTGTTCCCACTGTTCCCATTGTTCCCATTTTCCCACATTTCCCATTCCAGGTGTGGAGGGCAAGGCGGGCATGGCTGTTCCCATTGTTCCCATTGTTCCCATTTTCCCACATTTCCCATTGTTGCAGGCGTGGAGGGCAAGGCGGGCCTGGCTGTTCCCATTGTTCCCATTTTCCCACATTTCCCATTGTTCCAGGTGTGGAGGGCAAGGCGGGCATGGCTGTTCCCATTCCCATTCCCATTCCCATTTTTCCCACTGTTCCCATTGTTCCAGGCGTGGAGGGCAAGGCGGGCATGGCTGTTCCCATTGTTCCCATTTTCCCACATTTCCCATTGTTCCAGGTGTGGAGGGCAAGGCGGGCATGGCTGTTCCCATTCCCACTGTTCCCACTGTTCCCTTTGTTCCCTTTGTTCCCTTTGTTCCAGGTGTGGAGGGCAAGGCGGGCCTGGCTGTTCCCATTGTTCCCATTGTTCCCATTGTTCCCATTGTTCCCATTGTTCCAGGCGTGGAGGGCAAGGCGGGCATGGCTGTTCCCATTGTTCCCATTGTTCCCATTGTTCCCATTATTCCCATTGTTCCCATTTTTCCTGTTGTTTCCATTGTTCCAGGAGTGGAAGGCAAGGCGGGCCTGGCTGTTCCCATTGTTCCCATTGTTCCCATTATTCCCATTGTTCCTGTTTTTCCCATTCCAGGAGTGGAGGGCAAGGCGGGCATGGCTGTTCCCATTGTTCCCATTTTTCCTGTTTTTCCCGTTCCAGGCGTGGAGGGCAAGGCGGGCATGGCGGCCATCGCGGACCCCTGGTCTCGGCTGGATGCGGGGGGTCTGTACGAGCGGCTGGTGCCGGTGCTGCCGCCCTACGCCCGGCCCGTCTTCCTGCGCCTGCTGCCCAACCTCGACACCACCGGTACCCACCGGCACAGGGGAGGGCTGCGGGGATGGGGGAGGGACCCTGAGATGGGGAGGGGCTGCGTGGGGATAGGGAGGGGCCTGTGGGGAGGGGACTGTGGGGAGGGACTGTGGGGAGGGGGAGGGGATTGCGGGGAGGGGGAGGGCTTGTGGGGAGGGGAGGGGGCTTGTGGGGAGGGGACTGTGGGGGAGGGGAGGGGCATGTGGGGATAGGGAGGCCTGTGGGGAGGGGAGAGGCTTGTGGAGAAGGGGAAGGGGCTTGTGGGGAGGAGGAGGGGACTGCAGGGAGGGGAGGGGACTGTGGGGATGGGGAGGGGGCTGTGGGAGGAGAGGGGACTGTGGGAGGGGAGGAGCTTGTGGAGAGGGGAGGAGCTTGTGGGATGGGGAGGGGTTTGCGGGGATGGGGAGGGGACTGCGGGGAGGGGAGGGGCTTGTGGGGAGGGGGAGGTGCTTGTGGGGGAGGGAAGGGGAGGGGGCTGTGGGGATGGGGAGGGGACTGTGGGATGGGAGGGGCCTGTGGGGAGGGAGGGGGCTGCGGGGAGGGACTGTGGGGAGGGGAGGGGACTGTGGGGAGGGGAGGGGCTTGTGGGATGGGGAGGGGACTACGGGGACAGGGAGGAGCTTGTGGGATGGGAGGGCTTGTGGGAGGGGGAGGGGCTTGTGGAGATGGGGAGGGGACTGTGGGGATGAGGAGGGGCTTGTGGGGAGAAGGAGGAGCTTGTGGGATGGGAGGGACTGGCGGGGAGGGGAGGGGCTGTGGGGATGGGGAGGGACTGCGGGGATGGAGAGGGGCTTGTGGAGAGGGGAGGGGACTGCAGGAATGGGGAGGGGCTGTGGGGAGGGGGAGGGGGCTGTGGGGAGGGGAGGGGTTTGTGGAGAGGGGGAGGAGCTTGTTTGATGGGGAGGAACTGTGGGGATGGGGAGGGGGCCTGCGGGGGAGGGGAGGGACTGCGGGGATGAGGAGGGGACTGTGGGGAGGAGGGGACTGTGGGGATGGGGAGGGGGCTGTGGGGAGGAGGGGCTTGTGGGAGGAGGAGGTGCTTG